CAGCACAGGCCTGGCTATACTGTGCGGGTGGGGCTGAGTGAGCCGCGTGGTGAGGGCGGGAGGGTTCCTCGCTCCCAGTGCCATCCTTGCCTTGCAGACCGAGGCGAGCTGTTCGTGTGGGGTAAGAATGTGCGTGGCTGCCTGGGCATCGGCCGCCTGGACGACCAGTACTTCCCGTGGCGGGTAAGGTGGGCCCTGGCCGCCCTTCTCAGTGCTCTGTGCCCTGTGAGCTAGGACTTGGGGCTCAGGACCTGCCTCGCCGCGGGCATCACCCCAGCCATGGCCTCAGGGAGCTCGCAGCCAAGCCCGCACTGTGGATGCCTTCTGCCGAGCTGGAAAGAAAGCGGGCTGGCCTGGGGGTGGCTCAGAGGCCCTGCGCGGCTGAGGGGTGCGCACAGCCCATTCAGTCCCAGCAGCCGAAGAAAGGAAAAGCAAGTGAGCAAGCATGCGCCTGCTGGCAGACTGCAGGCAGAGCTGAGCGCTGGGGTGCGGTACACGAAGCCCACTACAGAACTAAAGGGGAAAGGATGTCCAATTGTAGTAGGTCTTTTTTTTTTTTTTGCCAGTCCTGGGACTTGAACTCAGGGCCAGAGCACTGTCCCCGAGTGTCACTTCCAGCTTTTTCTGTTTATGTGGTACTGAAGAAATCAAACCCAGGCATGAGTGCTAGGCAAGTACTATCCCACTGAGCCACCTCCCCAGCCCTGTGCTGGGTCTTTTAAGTTACCAGCTCTTTTAAGTTACCAGAAACTGTTGTGTTTGAGTGCAGAGCCTCTGTTGTGGGTACGGTGCTACATGCTCACAGTCCCAGCACTCACTGGGAGACTGAGGCAGCCTGGGCGACATAACTGAGATCTTGTTTCAACAAAAAAAAGCCACAAACCAAACAAGTGACCCCACATCCCACTTTTTTTTTTTTTTTTAATGCCGTTACTAGGGCTTCAGCTCAGACTCGTACTCTCACTTGGCTTCTGTGGGGAGGTAAACAGCTCTCAAGGCAGAGGTTGCTAGGAGTCCACCTGGCGGCCGTTGTTGTGGTCTGGGCCAGCAGGAGCGCCAGGGCTCACTGCCCGCCATTGCCCGTGTTTGCTCAGTGATATCTGCCCCAGCTGTTTGGTGAGGCAGGAAAGGACAGGCGCCTCGCTTCTGCCTCTGTGGTCAGGAGCAGCCCCTAATGGCCTGAGCCCTTGGCTCAGGTGCAGAGCTGCGATCAGCATCTGCCACTGTTCAGCCAGGCCATCTGCCCAGCACTCCTCCATGCCTGTGCATGGTTGTTGCCTGTGCGTGGTTGTTGCGTGTGCGTGGTTGTTGCGTGTGCGTGGTTGTTGCGTGTGTGTGGTTGTTGCGTGTGCATGGTTGTAGTGTGGTAATTCCAGACAACCACCACCATCCTCTGGAAGGACCCAAGAATTTAGTTTGTAGTTACGCGGGGGGCAGAGGGTGGTGGAATAGGAAGAGACATTTAATACTTTGCTCTTTTCCACCCTTTGTAGTGTGGCATTGTGATCGAATTGCCTGTTAGCCATAATAATAAATAGGGAAAGCCAGGCGTGGTTCCACACATCTGTAATCCCAGCCCTTGGGGGGGCTGAAGCAAGAGGATTGAGGCTGGCCAGGGCTATATATCATAGACCCTGTCTGAAAAAAAAAAATGAAGCAAGAAAACTAAGAACAAAAGAAAAATAGAGAACATGTCCTCTTGGGGACACGTTGAGATAGGCCCAAGACAGGTTGGGGTATCTGTCTCCAAGGACATAGAACAGTGAACCCTAGGAAGCACAGGCTCCAGCCACCCTAGTGACAGCTGGGCTGTGTGCCCGAGGGCGGGGGAAGGGGTCCGCTTGGCTGGTGGCAGGGCCTGTTCCTGCCTCTACCCCAGGCGGGAAAGGCTGAGCCAGGCAGGGCAGTGCCAGGGCCTGTGGCTGACCATGCTGTGCCCTCTCTGTTGCAGGTGACGCTGCCCGGCCAGCCTGTGGACGTGGCGTGTGGGGTGGACCACATGGTGACTCTGGCCAAGTCTTTCGTCTGAGCCTCTGGAGCTGCTGGGCCTGGGCTGTGAGTGCCCGGCAGAGCTGCAATGGCTCCAATGGCACTGGGAGGTGGCAGCACCCTCCTAAGGACACTGGGCACTGACTGGGGGCTCGAGGATGGCCATCACCTGCCAGGTGCGCACGGCAGTTCTGTGCTTGTGTGGCAGGAGGCACCTGGGAGGCGCTGGACCCTCTGTTGACACTTTAGCTGTCCCTGCAGGGCCTGGCTGCCTTGGGCCTTAGTTCTGATGACCAGTCACTGTGCCCACATGCTGTGTGCACGCATCTGGCCCACCAGCCCAGTTCTGATGACCAGTCACTGTGCCCACATGCTGTGTGCGCGCATATGGCCCGCCAGCCCTGGATTCCTCGGCGCGGGCCTGTGCCAGCCTGCACCGATGGGCTGCAGTGGCCTTCCCTGAAGCCACCTCTGTGCTAGGCCACAGCTGCACCTGGCTTGGCGTTGGCCTGGAGAAGATTCCAAAACTGGGGGAAACATTTGCTTTAGAACAAGTCTTTCCTGGAAAAGCATCATTTAAAAGCACCTTCTAGAATAAAATCTATTTTCTGCTTAAGAACAAAAGGTCTTTTTTTTGTTGTTTTGTTTTTGTCGGTCATGGGGCTTGAACTCTGGGCCTGAGGGCTGTCCCTCAGCTCTTCAGCTCAAGATGAGAGCTCTGCTACTTGAGCCACAGCGCCACTTCTGGTTTTCTGGTGGTTTATTGGAGTTATAAAGAGTTTCATGGACTTGCCTGCCTGTGCTGGCTTTGAACTGCAATCCTCAAATCTCAGCCTCCTGAGTAGCTAAGATTACAGGCGTGAGCCACTGGGCCTGGCTGACAAAAGGTCTTTTATTACTGATCATCATGAGATTAGCTTTGGCAAACAAGGCTTTTGACAAAGTGCACAGAGGAAGCTGAAGTAGGAGGATTGAGAATGTGAGGCCAAACTAGGGTTACATAGATAGTACTAGAAAATGTGTCATTCTGCTTTCTGAAGACCTTAGTTGGGCTAGGTCTGAGGTCACCCCTGGAGGCTGGGACTGGAGTTGGTGGGGGAGGGGGGGCAGGTTCTGCTCACGATGGTCCTGGGATTGATTATCTGGAAGTTAGGATCTCAAACCCACAAATGGCCACCCACCTACAGATACAGCAATGAGAATACCTAGCGGCTGGAGGCTCTGGCCCATGCCTGTAATCTTGGCCCTGGCTAGGCTGAGAGGAAGAGCAGGACTAGCCCAGGCCACGTGGGATCGCCCCCCCCCCACAGTCACCATGAACATGGTTGCTAGTGTACAAGGCTGTGCTAGGGTTGGTTTTGGGAGTGGGGCCCTGGTCACGATTAGGCTCTCCTGGCTGCCATCTGCTCGGGCCTGCTCTCGTCAGCTAAGCAGAAACCGCGCTCCGTGCTGCGATAAGAGCTTTGCAAGCCTGCTGTCCTCACGCTCCAGCGAGCAGAGCGCGGAGGCCACGCGGCACGCCGTGTCCCCGTGTCATTCTCATCATCCGCTGTCCATGAGGCCCCGAGGGCCCAGGTGGAATGCAGAAGGGCGGAGCTGTGCGGGGCTGCTGCGCCTCTGCCCAGGAGGTTTCAGGCAGGGGTCCAGGGAGTGGGGTGGGGGGCCTCAGTGTCCTCATTTCCCCCCTCCTCCATGTCACTTCTGCTGGGTCAGGTAACTACAGAATATGGTGCGGGCAGTGGCGAATGGATTCTGGTTCCCTTGAACTGGAGGGGGCAGGTGCCATGTTGTGAGGAAACTCCCCGCCCTGTGGGAAGAACCATGGCCTTGTGCCTCAACCAGGCCTGCTTTGTTTCCCACAGAATCAACCGCTTCAGGAGCTGATGCCCTCAGTACAGTGGTTTGAGGCCCCACAGCCACATGCTGGTGCCGTGTGGACCCTTTAAGAGGCAGGATCAGTGGGAGTGTGGCCTTGGACTGTATTTAAGTAGTTCTCAGGGAATACTGGCTAGTTCCTGCCACAGTGAGTTGTTAGCCAGGTGCCTGTGTCTCATGCCTGAAATCCTAGCTACTTAAGAGGCTGAGGATTGTGGGAGATCTGAGGGTTGTGGTTGGAAGCCAGAGTTGGCAGAAAAGTCCATGAGACTCATCTCCAATGAAGCATCAAGAAGTTGAAAGTGGAGCTGCGGCTTAAGTGGTAGAGCACCAGCCTTGAGCACAAAAGCTCAGGAACAGCAACCAGGCCCTGAGTTCATGCCTCAGGACTGGTACATACACACACACAAAAACACTGAGTATTTGTGAAGAGTCAGCCCAGCCCCCAGCCCCTCCGGCTTCCTGTCTTGTCATGTGACTGGGTCCCTCTCCCACAAGTTTGTACCAGGATACCACCTCCATGCTGAGCTGGACCTCCCAACCCAGGAGCTTCATAAACCTCTTCTTGCTGAGCGCCGGTGGCTCACACCTGTAATCCTAGCTACTCAGGAGGCTGAGATCTGAGGATCGCATTCAAAGCCAGCCCAGGCAGGCAAGTCTGTGAGACTTCTCTCTCCAATTAACCACTCAGAAAACGGGAAGTGGCGCTGTGGCTCAAGTGGAAGAGCTGTTGCCTTGAGCTGAAGAGCTGAGGGACACTGTCTAGGCCCAGAGTTCAAACCCCACAACCGACCAAAAAAAAAGCAAACCCAAACCAAACCAAAAAACACCTCTCCTTTATGAAGCAGGCAGGCTCAGGTATTCGGCTAGAGGAACAGGAAATGGGCCAGGACATGGAGACAGGATGACCCAAGCATGGCCAAGCCAAACTCCCCGATTATGTACCACGGCTTCTGTGATGGTAATTGGGGCCCCTGGCAGAGCTTCAGTGGTAAATACAGCCCTCCAGCTCTGAGGGCTCCTCCTCAGGGCAGCCCTGCCCTCACCCACTCCTGACCCTGTGTCCCCCCCCAACCACAGCATGGGGGAGAAAGAGACTGGGTAAACCCACACAAAACCAGACCACCAGCGCCCACCACTTTTTCCCCTTCATTTTAATGAACACTTTACAAAGTACAAAATATACTGTCTTTTTTAGGGAACATTAAGTACTTTTTTTTTTCTCTCCATCATACAGTACATGAATTTCAAGGGTTTTGTGTTTCTTTGACAAAGAAAAGAAATCATGAGGGCCCTGGGGTGCTGTGGCCCGGTCTCCCCATCGCCCAGGCCCAAGGAGGCGCCTTGGTGCTGGTGAGTGTACCAGGAGGGTGGGGGGCTGAGGGTGGGCGTGTCCGCCCTGCTGTCCCCTGAACCCCATCCATCCATCCATCCATCCATCCATCCACCCTTCCATCTCGGGATAACGGAAATGATTTTGGCATAGAACAAGAGGGGGGACCAGGAATTCTATCCTTGTCAGTCCCCGATGGTTCCCAAGGCAACCCTGCCCAACCCTTCCTGGATCAGTCTCATAATAGGGAAACTGAGGCAGCAGATAAGGAAATGCACTGGGCATGGCCTGTGGGGCCCTGAATTGGCCCTGCCTTTTACCTCTATTCCCAGAAGAGCCCCCCATGGATGAGGGGCACCTCCTCTTTCTGTGAATACTGTCTTCAGAATTGGGGTTATTTGAAGAGCCCCTACTCTGGGCAGGCCTGGCTGGCTGCTAGATACCTCTGTCCTGCCCGCACCCACTGGGGTGAGGCCATCTTACCTGGGACAACCCCTTTCTCCTGGGAGCCAGAACCTAGAGGGTGTTCCCAAGGACTTTGAATACTGAATGAACCAGTCCCTGGCTGGGTTCTGCACACACACACACACACACACACACAGGCTCATGCCTAGAACATGTCCACACACACACACATACAGGCACACACATGCAAGAACTGAATTCCACATTGAACAGCACCCTGGCCCACTGGGCCTGGCCTGGTGTCTATTGCCTCCTGTTACACCAAGAGCCACAAACTTCCACCAGCAGGCCAGCCATCCCCCAGTGCCATGGCCCGAGGCCAACTGGGTTGCCTTCCCTGGAGAGCAGTCTTTGTTGTGGCGGCTGCTCCCTCACCTGTCTGCGGGAAAGAGCGGGGACAGGTAAGCATGCCTGGCTGCAAAGGGCTGGGATGAGTTTGAAGATGGAGGAAATGGGAAGCGTGGAGCAGTCTCCCAGGCCGTGGGGGCATCACAGACTATCGGCCCCACCCGCCCCCTCTGGGCTGCACCCAACAGTGGCAGGAAATCCAAGGATCTGCCTTGTTCCTGCTGGAGAGCCATGGCCCTCACCCAGACTCTGCTCACCTGCCCATCCTGGCCACCGCGGGTGGGGTATCTCCAGGGAGCACCTCCAAAGTGGGGCCTTTGTCCTACATCTAACCTAGAGGCTCAGAGCTGGCCCAGGATGGATGGCAGACTGGTGGCACAAGGTCCAGCTTCCCTGTTTGAAGAACTTCAATCACATGGTGATACAGGGTTGGTGGGGGGTAGGGCTTCGCCCTGGCACCTGCCCAAGTCCTCCCTTCTGACTCCATGTCTTCTAGGGGCCTCATCAGACCAAGTGTCTGCTGGACACCAGACTGGTCAGTATGGTCCAGCTGCCTGGTGGGGGCCAAGGCACCAGGCCCAGGCCCAGTGCCATCCCTGCCCACAGGGCCCTGCCTCTGGCAAGGGCAAGGGCTGGTGGTTTGGACGCACTGCCCCAGGGTCTTGGGGAGGGGAGGCGATGGGCTCAGGGCCACACGCATCTTTGGGGGTGTAAGCTGGCAATACCTGTCATCTAGCTGGGCCAGAACTAGGCTGAGGGTACAGAAGAGCGCTGTCACACGCCAGGGCAAAATCTCAGTGTTCACACTTCCCAACTCACTCACTCAGACCCCCACAGCCAGCACCCAGGGAGCCTCGTAGATGCCATGGAAACACGTGTCTCCACGTGGGACCCGGACTCACCCTCACATTCAACAAGCTGGGGGGGGGGTAGTGGGCCCCCACAGCAGGGACCACCTGGCTCACACAGGGCTGGTGCACATCAGGCTAGGGAAAGCCAGACATCTCTGAGCTTGGATACAAGGCGGGCATCCCCAGCTTCATAGCCATCCGAGGATGGGGGGCGGGGGGCGGGGTGATCCTGGCTAGGGAGGGGACCAGCCTGTTTCAAAGCAAGAAGTCCCAACTCCTGTTTCCCTGGCTCAGCATTTCCCCAAATCAAACAGGCATGCCAAAAGGGCACAGGCCCACTCCTGCCCCAGGCTCGGGGGTGGGGGTGGGGTGGGGCGTGGGTTCCGTTCCCCACCGGCAAGGCCTGAGCCACCATGGCCTGCCCTCTGAAGGCATTGCCTATATACTTGAATTCAAAAACTCGGTGGCTCAAATGTGTCTGTGTGCGCGTGGCCGACGTGCTGGGCCACACGTGTCCACGCTCACGCACGCAGAATATATTAACGTATATATTGCTCAAGTATATATGCTATTTACAGTATATATCTCTATCAACATAAAACACAGGTATTGATAGTTGTGTACAACAGACAACTCCAGGATGTTGGGGAGGGGAGGGGCGTTCACGCGATTCTGGGGGATCAGGGGAGGGGCGTTCACGCGATTCTGGGGGATCAGGGGAGGGGCGTTCACGCGATTCTGGGGGATCAGGGGAGGGGCTTTCACGCAATTCTGGGGGATCAGGGCTAATACACTTGCAGGGCGAGAAGGAACGACCGACCAGAAAAGCAGACAGAAAGGGTATGCAGAGGTGTACCCCAGAAAGTTGAGGCCCTCCGAGGGCAGAAAGCGGACCGGGCACCCCAGGCTGCCACCCTGCCCACCTCCCTTTGGAACCAGCGAATGATTTTCAAGATTTGGTTGGTCAAGAGTTTTGTGCAAAATAAATCGACTTCAAGAGTGGACAGGAAAGTGGGGTTCTAATCAACACCAGCCCCTCACAAGGAGACACCCCCCATCTGTCACCTCCTGGGGTTCAGCCACAGCCTGAGAAAAGGCAGGAAGACCCAGGGAGTGGGGGGCTCTGCTCCTGGGCCTTTTCCATGCGGCTCTCGGGTCTCCTGGTCCCCACTGAGCCCCAGACAAGTCCATGCTGGCTGGGAGGGCCTGGGAGGGCCACCGTGTCCTGGAGGACTTGCAAGACCTGCAGAACCTCCTGTCAGAGCTCCCCGAAATGGCCACCACTGCTCACAGCGGCTGGGCACAAACACACTAGACAAAAACCAAAGCCAGGCGCCAGCGTCCATCAAGACTCAGCACGCTGCTCCTAGCCAAGTATGGGGACCGCCAGCACCCTGGGTCGCAGTGTGGGAAGCGGCGGGTGACTTGTCCCCCAAAAGTGAAGCAGAGAGGATGACAGGGAAGCCCCAGGCTGGTCTAGTCAATGGCTGGGGAGGTAGGGGGTGACCTAAGACACCCCAGGCCTGGGAAGCCGGGGAAACCCCCACTGTGGGGAAACTGAGGCTCCACCCACCCATGGCGGGTGCTGGGAAAGCAATAGGCAGGAGCTGGCACTCCAGGCTGGTGGCTCTCCCGGGCGCCTGTCCCCCGGGACTTGGTGCTTGTGGAGGGGGTGTGGACAAGGTCCCCCTTGGCAGTCATGCTGGGGTTGGGGTACAGGCCCTGTGACTGGCAGGCAGGGGCAGGGCAGGGGAGAACTGGGCCCCCCCTTGTCACTCTGGGGGCCCGACTGGCCTCCACTCTGTGGGAACCAGCCCTGAGCTGATGGAACTGGAGTCCAGTGACCTCCATACCCTCGGCCCCCTCCCCCAACTGTTCTCCCAAGACATCACAAGGAACAAGACCCCAGCATCTGTGGGGGGGGTACTGACTTCCTTTGGTGTCGGCCCTGCGCCGTGCGCACGCGATGTCAGGGCGATCTTCTCCCCAGCCCCTGGAACCTGAAGCCATCTTCTGGGGTGGGGTACGAGGAGGGGCGGGGCTCTGGGAGGGGGCGGGAGGGCTGGGGGGGCCTTGGCAATCAAGGAGTGTCCCCGAGGCCCCTTCCGGGGGTCCCCTGGCCCGTCTTCCAGTCTCTAGATAAACACTGCGAGAACAACCTTCCAGGAGGGGCCGGTGGCCCCGGCGGCGGCGGCGGCAGGGAGCTCAGAACCTTCTAGTGCTTTTCTGCATGACTGACCTTCAGGGCACTGATCACCCCGCTGATGTTTTCCTCCGGAATCTGCAGACATGGACCCAAACACCTGAGCCCAGAGGCCGGAAAGATACAGAGCCGGATGCCCGAGCCTGGAGGCTCCCTCCCCCACCCCGGCACTGCCCAGCCCCTGGCGCCCCAAACCCCACTTACCAGCGCGTGGTCGAACTTGAACGTGCTGATGTAGTAGGCAGGGATGTCTGCTGCAGCCAGTGGCTCCGAGATCTGTGCCACGATCCCACACTCATCTGCAAAACAGGGTGCTCAGGACGCCCACTCAGAGGCTTCCTCCCCTGCCCCTCCCCCCTGGGGCTCAGCTGCATGCCTGTCCATCCAGGCCCTTTTCCAGCCACGGGCCACCAAAGCACCACCATAGAGGGCCTTACACCTGGCTCTGTCCCTCTGGCCTTTTGTTTCCTTGTCTTTGTCACCTTGTGTTGTGTGTTTGTGTGTGTGCGCGCACACGCATGCCCGTGCGCTCTGGTACAGGGCTTGCTCAGGGCCTCACTCAAGGCTGGTGCTCTACCACTTGATCCACATCTCCAACCTCAGCTTTTTGCTGGTTAACTGGAAACAGGAGTCTCATAGACTTTCCTGACCAGGATAAGCCTCAGTGCTCAGCCTCTTGAGTAGTTAGGGTTACAGGTGTGAGCCAACCGGCACCCAGCTGGTTTATGTCATTTTATAAAACACCAGTCCCCAACTTTCTCAACCTAGTTAAAAAAGCTAAGACTGGGCACAGCAGTGTACGCTTGTAATCCCAGCCCTCAAGAGGCAGAGGCAAGAGGATCACGAATTTAAGGCCAGCTTGGGCCATGTAGAGAAAGATGCCCCAAAACCAAACCCAGTCCAACCAACCAAAGACCAAGGTTGAGGGAAAAACTGTGGACAGGGCACTAGGCTGGGTTTTAGGGACCAGTGGGCAATTCTCTCTGCAGGGTCCTGTCAGCGTGACAAGGTCGAGGCAAGGTCACGGTTTTGGGCTAGGGTGTCCCAGGCTCACTGGAGAAGCCAAACATCCAAGCACTGAAGATGACTAACATTCTGAGTTCCCAGTGAGATTTTTCCACCTTCCATTTCCCTGATACCAAGTGGAATCCGCCATTGCTGGGGTTGTGATTCCTTTCTTATTGCTTCTGTGGTGCTGGGGCTGGAACCAGGGCCTTGTGCCTGCCAGGCGGGTACACTGCCACTGAGTCAGAGAAGTGGGGGTGTCTGCCCCTGGGGTCCCTGGCGGCTGGAGTCTTCCTAGGAGCTATGTGGGACTGCATCACCCAGATTCTGAGCCAGCAGCCCCCCGTCCCTGCGCACATGCCGGCCCCCCGCTCTGCACCCCAGCCACCACTCACCGAACCCTAGAGGCTGCCCTCCGATGCGCACCATCTTCCACAGCTCTCCGGAGGCGCTGGTGAACAGCAGGTTACTGGGGAACCTTCGGGCGTGAGAGGATGCTCAGAGGAAGCACGTGCATCACAAGAAGCCTCAAGGAGCGCTGCCCCAGGAGGGGGGGGGGCAGTGCCCAGGCCCGGCGTAGGGCAGAGCTCAGGGCCCCGGGGCACTGCGACCTGACATTCAGCAGGGGGGCCCACACACCTCATCTTGGGGAAAGGCAAGGCTAGGGCCAGGTTGAAAGCCCTGCATTATGTCATCATGCTCTGGTCCTGGGGAGAGAGGGGAGGACCCCGTGGGGCGTGGGGAGGATCCCATGGATGTGGGGAGTGGGGAGAACTCTAGGGGAGTAGGGAGGATGCTGTGGGGGACTGGGGAGGACCCTGGGGAAGGACTCAGTTGCTCACCTCTGCTGGGTCTGCGCGTCCATCACCAGGGAGATGTAGCCCTCGATGAGGGAGAAGGAGAAGAAGCGGATATGGCCGCAGTCTTCGCCGGCCGCCAGGGGATCCTTCACTCTGGGGACCAGGGTGCTGGTCAGGACGGGGGATGGGGTCCCACCCACCCGCCCAGCAGCCCCTACGCAAGAGACAAGCCCGTCTCATCAGAGGTTGCCGGCTGGGCCTGGCAGACACCGTGCAGGTCTCCGGCATGTGCTGGACCCCAGCTTCACAGAAGATGAGGAAGGATGCCAGCCTTTGCCCATGCTGCTTTTGGAGACCCGGGGGCAGGACCCCCCCCCCTTTGCAGACTTCATCAGATTTTGTGGATGCCAGAGTACAGTTCTCCCCTCAGGCTCCCTCAGACCAGCTCCCAGCGAGGGCTGTACCTCCCCCTCAGATCAGCTCCAGGGCCTGGCCGCAGCCCGGGGGCACCCCCTACCCGTTGGAGTAGAACATGACGTCCATGAGGAGTGTGGCCACGGCAGGGAGCGTGTCGGGATCCAGGCTGGTGACACAGAACCGGTTGCTGGGGCTGGACAGCGGGTGGATGACAGGCCTCTGAACTGTGAGGACATGGGGACGCGCTCAGGCGGGGATGGCGGAGGCTGTGGGGGGCGGGCCAGCCCAGGCCACTTGTTGGTGCCTGGCCTCCGCCACTCACAGCGCCCTCTTCAGGACGCGGGACCAATGGGCAGTCCTGGGAGCCACCCGAAGCCATCCCGTGTGAACCTCGGGCCCAGTCTCACCCATCTGGGATGTGTTTGCTTATTAAAATTGTGCCGGTACTGGGGCTTGAACTCAGGACCTCCTGCGCTCCCTTGGCTTTTCCACTCGAGACTGATGCACTGCCACGTGAACCACTCCGCGGCCAACTCACCCATCTTGGGCTTCGCGAAGCCGTTGGTGATGCCAAGGTTCTCAGCTGCCACCGTCTCTCCGTTGACGACACGCAGGATGGTGAACTCGGAGGACAGGGTGTGCGTGACAAAGGGCAGGTCTCGCTCGCGTACCTGGAGAGAGGGCGGGGACCCTGAGCGTCGCCCGGCAGCCCCAGGGGCGGGGGGGAGGCCGAGTGCAGGGGTGAGGGGCCGGGAGCCCCACTCACCAGGATGAAGTCCGTTTGGTAGGTGGACAGCATGAACACGGAGATGTTCTGGTCAGCCAGGGGTGCAATGACTGACTTGGCGATCTTGGTCACACCGATGGGCTGTGAGCTGGAGAAGCTGCCGCCGCCAGACACCACGTTGAGGGCCAGCCAGGTGGCGTCGGCCACGCTCAGGTGCTCCGACGAGGGTAGCTCTGCAGGAGGGCAGGGCAGGCTGAGGACGGGACAGAGGCCGTGGCCTGGTGGCCAGTGCTGCCCCTCATGGGGCAGCTCCATTCCTATACACCCTGCCAGCCAGGGCCCCTCCTGAGTGGCTCTCCATAAGCCAGACATGCTAGGGCAGGGAGCATGTGACCAAGGGGTTTGTGCCTCAGTTTCCCCAGCTGCAAAGCAGAGCTGGCAATGCCTTTGTGCTTCCCCCACCTCCCTGCGATGTGTGTGTGTGTGGGGGGGGGGAGGGACTGTCACCATTGTCACCCTCATCTCACATGCAACTGTGCCCAGGTTTTCAAACCAGGCTCCCTGGGAGTTTGGTGGAGGGGCAGGAGGGTTCAGCAGGCCCTGGCTTCTCTTCTACCTGGCAGACCTTGGGAATGGGCCTGCAGAGGCCCCCCAAGGAGCCTAGGGCACAGGAATCCACATGCAGCCACTGTGGGGGCCCAGAGTGGGGCAGGGAGCAAGGTCCTCCGAGTGCACTGATGCTCCATACCCCACTGAGAGGCAGGGTTATCCCCCGCATCCATCCCCAAACCAGGTGCCCAAGAGGGCCAGGGATTCCCTCAAGTTACTGAGACAGGCCAGGAGTCCAGTGCATGTGACTTGGAAGGCAGGGCTGTATGGGGGAGCAATGGGGAGGCAGGCAGGGAAGGGGGCTGGGCTGGCCTCAGGCCTCAGGCCCAGAACACTGGGGAGGAGGAGAGGCCTGCAGGGCTTCCACCTGCCACTCTGGTCGCCATGGCAACTGGAGTCACGCAAGCCCATTGGCCATGCTGGCCCAGAAGGGCCTGTGGTCAGCCAGTGAGCTGAGCGGCTGGGAGGGGAGCCAGGACAATTCCCCAGTGCACCCCAGAACCCCAGCTTCATCCTCTAGCTCTAAGGGTCCTCTACTTAGCCATGGAGGGTGCTTAACCAGGGCAGTGTGAGATCCCCTCTGTCCCTCCTGGGTGGGCAGGGTTCTTTGCCCCCTAGATGGGCCCTTTCTCCCAGGCACCAATATCGTGTGTGTGTGTGTGTGTGTGTGTGTGTGTGTGTGTGTGTGTGTGTGTGTCAGGGTGGGTGGCGGGGGCCAGGGCAGGCGAGGCCTCTCTTCCAGAGCCAGGTGCGGGGCTGTCCCTTCTTCATGTCACCACACCAGGCTGAGGCTCAGAAAGGGAAGCAAATGTCCCGTGGTCTCTGTGGCGAATCTTCCAGGCGTACCACCATGTAAGAGTCCTGACAGCGCCCCAGGGACAGCTGTGGGGCTTCAGACGAGCCGCAGGGATGGGTACAAAGGCAATTCCGAGCCAGCCCTGCCCTCCAGCGAGGTGGGAGCCAAGGGTCCCATGCCCTCCTGCCACCTCCTCACTCCCGAGGCCCCAGTCCCAGAAACCCTGGCTGCACACTTCTTCTCCTAGGGCTTGCTGTGGGCATGCCTCCTATGGAAAGCCCTCCCAGATTTCTCCTGCCACGCAGGACTAGGTACTGCTGCCTGCTCAGACTGTGGCTCTGGCCTGCATTTCTGCCAATGAGCTAAAAGATGCTCAGAGATGCAGCTTGGGCCCCTGCACCTCCTTGCCCAGGTCAGTCCTGTGGAAGCATGCAGAAATGCCACAACTCTGAAGCCATAAGGCCTACGGCAAGCTGGGCAATATTTCTGTGTCTCAGTATCTTCTGTGTCAGTATCTTCTGTGATAGAGTGATTCCTGGCTCCTGGCTGGTCCTGTGGACAGGGGAGGTGGAGACCCAGAGGATCACAATTCAAAACCAATCTGGGCAAAAAGTTAGCAAGATCCCATCTCAAGTAGTGCACCCAGTAGAGTGATACACATCTGTGGTCTCAGCTTTGCAGAAGGCCACAGGTGGGAGGGTCAAGGCCAGAGTCTGGCCTTAGGCAAAAATACAAGACTCTACTTGAAGAAAAACTAAAAGAGTAAAACAGGACTGGAGGTATTATTAGAGTGGTAGAGCACTTGCCTAGCAAGCATGATGCCCCGAATTCACACACACACACACACACACACACACACACACAATTTCTAGTATTTAGCACTGTGGGTCATGGTTTGTGACACATATCAACTAACTAGGGCTTGAACTTGGGGCCTGGGCACTGCCTCCGAGCTTTAATGCTCCAGGCTGGTGCTCTACCATTTGAGCCACAGCTCTTCTTCTGACTTTTTGCTCATTAACTGGACATAAGAATCTCACAGACTTTTCTGCCCAGGTGGGCTTCAATGTAATTGTCAGATCTCAGCCTCCTGAGCAGCTAGGATTACAGGTATGAGCCACCAGTGTTTGGATTCAACTTAGGTTATTTTTGAGACAGGGTCTCACTATGTAGCTCAGGCTGCCTTTGAACTGGAGAGTCTCCTGCTTCTGCTTACCGAGTGCTAGGATTATAGGCATGTACCACTGCACTCGGCCACCTATGCCGGCTGAGCAGTGTTGGCTCATCCCTGACATAGCTTGGTTTGATTTACGATTCCCAATGCCACACAGGAGCACAGGAGGATGCTGCGTGGATGGGCAGTGGTGTGTGTGTGGGGGAGGCGCGGGTGTCCCTGCCAGGGCCCGATGGGCTGAGTGGGCACTCTGTGCTGTTGGCTTGGCCCCCGTGTATGCAAGCCTGGCGGGCTTCCTGTCTCATTCTAGACTGTGGTCCAGGGAGGCCTCCTATCAGCAGCTCTGTAACCATCATGTCCTGCCACGCCTGGGGGCTCAGACTAAGTGGCCTCACTGCAGGGCCCTTCCCTGTTTCTGGTACTTTCTGCACACCTGCCTTCCACGCCCACAGAGTTGGCCCCAGGCCCCATAGCTTTTGGATCTTTCTGCCTGGTGCTGCCGGGGAAACCAAGTCAGCCATCAGTGCTGGGGAAGGGTTCATCATGAGTGGCCACGGCAAAGGGAGAAATATGTTGGAGAATCCATTCATAATCTTCCCAAAACATAAATCTGTCATTTTGGAGTTTAAACTCAGGGCCTTGTATTTGCTAGACAGGTGTTTTACTCTGAGAGTCACGCGGCCAGGCCTTTCTCTTTCATTTGCTTTTCAAAGGTTCTGCACTTTGCTTGGGACTGGCCTTGGGCCTTGGGCCTTGGGCCATGATCCTCCCTCTGCCTCCAGGGTAGTGGGATTACAGGTGTGTGCCTCCAGGCCACGCTGGACTGAGGACACCCCAGAACCCCTTTCATTCCCAGTGGCTGGGGTCTCAGCTGGTCACGCTGCGCATGCTCACCGTGCTGTCTGCCTTGGTGTGAGTGTGAGGTGGTCTCTCCCAGGGCAGCGTTTTTTTTTTTTCCCGTCATGGAGCCTGAACTCTGGGCCTGGGCGCTGTCCCTCAGCTCTTCAGCTCAAGGCTAGCGCTCTACCACTTGAGCCATAATGCCACTTCTGGCTTGTTCTGCTTATGTGGTGCTGAGGAATTGAACCCAGGGCCTAGAGTGCCAGCCTTGAGCTGAAGAGCTGAGGGACAGCGCCCACGTCCGGAGTTCAGACCCCATGACCGACAAAAGAAAAAATAAATAAATACAAAATACCCAAGGACTAGGGGAGAGCTTGCCTAGCAAGTCTAAGTTTCTGGGATCCCCCGAGGACTTGTCTGCACTGCAAAACAGAAAGAAAATGAATCAGGTGCAGCACCAGCCCTGTGTGAGGGGCAGCCTTACCCAAGAAGCCTTCCTCGTCAACGATGATGGTGTAGTCCTCAGGAGTCTCCGTCAGACTGAAGAACTTGCACCTGGGCAGACAGACAGACAGACAGACAGACAGAGGACACCTGGTCAGTCCTGGGTGGACATACGGACAAAGGATGCGTGGTCAGTCCTGAGTGGACAGACAGAGGACATTCTGGCAGTTCCTGGTGGCAGCTGTAGGCCATGGCCAGTGGAATGTGACTCAGTTTATCCATACGTGTCTGGGCCCCCATGTTCCTTGTTTCTGACAGAGGAGGTTGTGGGAAGCCCACAGAGGACCTGAGCCAGCCAGACCTGAAGCCGTCGGCCAGGCCTGAGAGTACTGCTCCACCTTCCCTGGGGAAGGAAGCCGTCTGTGTAGAAGAAGACAAACTGCCTGCCTGCCCTCCCTCCCTCCCTCCCTCCCTCCCTCTCTCCCTCCCTCCCTCCCTCCCTCTCTCCCTTTTCCTGCCCCCTGCCTCTATCCCTTCCTTTTATGCCATGCTGGGGCTTGAACTCAGGGCCAGGGTGTCGTCATTGAGATTTTTTTGTGTAAGGCTGGTGTTCTACCACTTGAGACCCAGCTCCACTTCCGGCTTTTGGTGGTTGAAGCGTCTCATAGATTTTCTGGCCTGGGCTGGATTCAAATTTAAATCCTCCGATCCCAGCCTCTTTCCTGATTAGCTAGGATTTCAGGAGTGCCTGGCTATTTTTCACATGGCCTCTCTGTCCCTACCTGCCCCCTAATGGGTTTACGACTCTTGCCTGGAGAGATGGAAGCTGGAGTTACTCCCGGTTCGGTGGTGAGTTCTCCATTCAGTGGAGATTGTGGGTTTAGCCCGGCTCCTTCCAGGGAGCCCCTGCATAGCCTCTTCCGGGGTCTCCACCTGTGAGCCTGCAGCAGCCAGGGGCACGTGGGGCCTGGCAGGGCTGCCCTGAAATCTCAAGTCCCAGGCCAGTGAGGGGACATTGTGTGGGTTCCCATAATCTGGAGGGCTGTGGGGACGCTACAGAGCTAGACCAAACCAGCAACTGTGGCACTCACAGACACACACACACAGAAGGGAGCCGTGGCCTCTGTGGACATGATTCCTGGGAGTGAGCCGCCCCTGGGGGCCAGCGCCAGGGCCTGCCAGCTGCAGGCTGAGCGCCAAGGCAGGGGCTAGCAGGTGGACATGCCTGTCACTTGCTCTTGTCACCAGCCAGCTAAGCCCCACCCCCTCCCAACTCAAGTCTGCCCGCCTTTTTTGGTATCACTGGGGTTTGAACTCAGGGCTCTGCACTTGGCAGCCAGAGTGCTCTGTGAGTCATGTCCCTGACCTCCCCTCCGTTCCTTTTGACACAGGGCCTCACTGTGGAGCCCAGGCTGAACCTGAACTCATGACCCTCCGGCCTCAGTTGCCTGAGCACAGATGTGCCCCCACCACACCAGGTTACACAGACAGACGTGTCTTTATCCAAGCTGGTCCCCTGGGCCAGAGTTAATGGAGATGTGAAGCTTCTGGAAAGCATGATGGAGGTAGGGTCTGGGTTGGGACCCCATTCTGGCCTCTGACATTTACACAACCCCTGGGCTTGTCCCCCACCCAGAGGGGCTCGAGCCATCCCTGGGGGAATCACGGCAGACGCCAAGCACCTCCCTCAGTCAGCCCCGCATGGTGCGTGGCCCCGCTGGTCCTCCAGCCACCTTGGCCCTGTGCGTTCCCAGGGTGGGGAGAGGGGGGAGCTGTTGCCAGAGCAGTTGTCCCGTTGCCTGGCAACCCGAGTGCCTGTCCCTTGGTCCCCCTGTGCCCCTGCCGTCAGTGTTCAAGCCCCCTCCAGCCCCTCAGCTGCAGGCAGCCTGCAGGGCAGCGTGGCCTTTGTGGCCTTGAGTGACCTCAGCTCTGACCTCAGGCTCGGGCTCTGGGGGGTCCGCTCAGCCCCCCCAGCTGGAGAGGGCCCCTCCCAAATGTCCTGGCCACCCCCCCCCACCCCAGATGCCTGGCAAGCAAGCTCCCAGGCGCCTCTCCAAGTGGCCTGCCTGCCCCTGCTTCTTTCTCTCCCCGCTCAAGTGTCCCCAGCCTAAAAAAGACCTTTGCTCATTCCTGTCTCCTTGGGCCACCACCCTGGGCCGGTCGCCACCTGGCCAGTCCCCGAGCCCTCTGCTGGGCCCCCCGGGGCCTCCAACAGGCTCAGCCAACAGCTTTACCAGCCTCACCTGCTGGCCCGGCTTTTTGCCTGGAAGCTGGGACTGGCCACACGGCGCACCGCCTCCTCGGCTCCCGCTCTGGCAGGGACAGCTCTGATTGGCTCTTCCCCACTGGGGGCCGTTCCGGGGAGTCCCCAGGGTCCTCTGGCCTCAAGTGGCCCAAACCTGCCTTCTCTGCGCACTCTAGATCTTTTTCCCTCCCTCCCTCTCTTCCTTCCTTCCTTCTTTCCTTCCATTTCCTCCCCCTTACCTTCCTTTATCCCCTCTCCTCCCTCTGTGCCTCTGCTCTCCCCCACCTCCTTTTTTTTGTGCCAGTCTGGGGCTTGAACTTGGGCCTAAGCTTTTTTGCTCAAGGTTAGTGCTCTATCATTTGACCACTTCTGGCTTCTGGTGGTTCATTGGAGATAGGAGTCTCACAGTCTGTCCTGCCTGGACTGACTTTGAACCGTGATCCTCAGGTCTCAGCCTCCTGAGTAGCTAGGATTATAAGTGTGAGCCTCCAATACCTGACTCTTATTACTTATTTTTTCTTTCTGTGGTGTTGGGTGTTGGACCCCAAACCTCCAAAGGCGGCTGGCGGGGTGGGGTGGGGGGGGTGCAACTGCACAGTGCCCTTAGGCCTAGGCAGACCCGACCTCTGGGCCAGGTCAGCCGTGCAGTCCAGCTGAGGTGAGGCTCCAGCTGGGCTAAGAGCTGGGTCCCCTCAGAACACTGAACTCAATCACAGTGAAACCCGATCTGTTTGTTCTCAGCTGCTCGGCCCAGTGCAGCCAGGCTCTGCCCGGGCCTGTCCCTGAGACCCCAGGTACCCGCAGGGCCCTGAGCCACAGACATGCCCTCACCCCAGGGAGGGCCAGGCCAGTCCGCGTGTCCAGCAGAAGGGGCCGAAGTAGCCATCATGAACAGGGCAGAGTGGGCAGAGGGGAGGCATGCCCCAGGGTCTGCTCCCGGGGACCATGCTAACGGCAGCACCCCGACAGGGGTTGGGCACAGGGTGCCGGGAAGAGCAGCCGCCCAAAAGGCTGGGGGTACACAGGAGGGGAGCCCCAGCAGAGCAGGTGTGGGCTGGGCCTCCACTACACATTTCTAGGAACAAGGCCACTCCTTTGTGAGGTCAAGTCCCATCCGGGGATAGCTGACTTCTAGAAGCTTCCTATACACTGACTTCTTTTGGTGGTACTGGGTTTAAGCCTCAGGGGTTTGCAGTTGCAGGCAGGTTCTTTACCCCTTGAGCCAGGATCCCAGCCTGAGTTTTTTCTCAGATAGGGTCCTCGGACCCTGGACCCTGCTGCTACTGCATGACCGAGATCACAGCTGTGTGCAGCCGCACCCCGCTCGCTTGCTGAGCACGCAGTCTTGCCCTCTAAAGCCTGAGCTGGCCTCGAAGCTCAGTTCTCCTGACCTCCGCTTCCCAGCAGCTGGGGCCAGAGCGTGAGTCTGTACAGGCGTTGCGCCTGGCCTAGATGGGCCATCTTCATATAGAAACCCAGGCTCAGAGCATGGAAAGGATCTGCCCAAGGTCACAGTGACCTTGGACCCTGTACAGGCCAGAACCAGAGGCCTGTGCATAGTGATCACTGGGAAGGACCAGGGCTCTCACCTCCACCGATGCACCCAGGCCAGGTCCCAGCTCGTAGCATAGAGTGAAGAGGGCATTTCCCATGTGGAGTGCAGATCCTGGTTTGGCCATGGATTGCCTGTGTGACCTTGAGAAATTGACTTAACTTCTCTGAGGCCCTCAGTTTAGTTATGAGCGAAGTGGGGCTGGCTGGACATTATGGAGGAGAGAGCTGCTCATCCCCATGGTGGCCAGGAAGCAGAGACAGGAAGGACACGCCCCTGTGACCCACTTCCTCTCAGCAGGTCCTGCCCCCCGGGGACATTTCAGATTTCAAACCTGAATAGCTCCATATCCAGACTCAACCAACTCTGAATCAAAAACCTTCAAGTAAAAAGCGACCATCCTGAGCCAGTAAAGACTTGGTTTTTATTTGTAGCAACTCTTGATTGTGTGTTTACTTTGTATCAGGTATTAGTAATCACCTAGGGTGATTTAGAGTTTAGAGGAAGGCCTGGGTGGGTGACTCAAGCCTATAATCCTACCTACCCAGGAGGCAGAGATTGGTGGTGGTAGGGTCCCACGGGGAGGCCAGTCTGGGTACAAAGGTTCGTAAGACTCCATCTCAACCAGTGGCCGAGTGTGGTGGCACACCCCTGTCATCCCAGCGGCACAGGGTAGCACACAGAGGAAGACTGCAATCCCGGTAGGTCCAGGCATAAAGCAAGATCCCATCTCAAAAACAAATGCAATAAAAAGGGGGCTCGAGGTATGTCTCCAGTAGTAGAAGCAGCCGGAGGAGACAGCCCTCCTGCCAGCTCTACCCTGCAGGTAAACGGTGCAGGCTGCTGGCCTGGGAGCTCCCCAGGCCCGCTGCCCTCCCTTCCCCCATGAGCGTGGCTGCTCCCACTGGTCCTCCTGTGTATGGCTCACCTGTGCCTGCCCCCCAGCTTCTCTCACCACAGTAAGTGGAACGGGACAGGGCCAGTATCAGTGTGGGGGGAGGAGGTGTAGGTCCCCAGGAGTAGATTGTGTGTGTGTGTGTGGGGGGGGGATGTCCTATGGGTACCTACTGGCCAGGTAGGGACCAAACCCCAAGTCATGGCTAGCGTGGCCAGACAAGCAGATTTAAAATGTTTATTTTAGCTTGTAATCCCAGCTACCTGAGCGCCTGAAGCAGGAGGATCATGGTCCCAGGCTGGGCCCTGGTGGCTCACACCTGCAATCCTAGCGACTCTGGAGGCTGAGATCTGGAGGATTGTAGTATGAAGCCAGCTGGGCTTCAAAAGTAGTTTGAAAAGTCTGTGAGTCTCCACCTC